AAGCTCTAATTATTATTCTTATTTTTTCAGTCTAGTTTATTCCTTTACCCATTTTTAAGCCGGTCCATCAACAAACATTTAAAAGTATTAAGAAATTATTGGATGAGTCATTAAATGAACCAAAAGATAATTATTAAATGTTGATTTTTTAAAATCTTATTAAACTTATTAGTATAATTCGATATTTTATTTATGGTATAATTCTATATATCTTCTGAATTATTTTAATAAGTTTTTTGTAAAGTTTATATGAATAATATTTTTGTTGTTTTTTTTATATTTTTTTCTTTTAAAGAATTAATATTATGGCTTTTTTATTTTTTTGCTATTTTTAGTCTACATTGTTTTGACTATTGTTTTATATTAAATATAATAATTAACCTATTGTTAGTTTCTCTTATTCATTTGTGTAAGTATTTTAAAGATTTTATTGAATTTCTTTATGATTATTTTATGGTTATTGTAATAATATAGGAAGAGTTTATAATAGTTATTATTATATATTAGATTATAGAGGGTTTTATATAATTTATAAGTATTATAAATAATATTAGATAAGTAGATTCTCGGGTTGAAAAAGCTATTACATTTGAATTTGGTTTTTTATTTTTTTAATTTTTATTATTAATTTTTTTTTTTTTTTTTAATATTTATATAAATCAATAAATATTTTTTTATTTTTATATTTTTTATAAATATTTTATTTTATATTATTTTATTTTTATTATTATTTATCTTTTTTATTATATATATAATTTTAAAATTATAAACTCTTTATTATTTTAAATTATATATAAAGAAAAAAATATAAATAAAGAGATTTTTAAATTATTATTATTTTATATATAAAATATGATATAAATAAATATAGTAATTATATTAAATTATAATAAATAAAAATATAATAAAATATTAATAATTTTTAGTAATTTTTTTTAAAAATAAATAATATTTAGAATAAAACATATTTTTTTATTTTAAAATAAAAATAAATGATTATTATCCTTTTTTTATTAATTTAATAAATTTATTTTTAAAAATATAATATTTTTATTAAAAAAATTAATATAATAAAATTTTGTTAATTACAAAGGTATTTTAGTAGAAGAATTTTTATTATTATATTGAAATTTAAAAGTTGATTAATTTATATTTTTATCAATAAAATTTCTAAAAAAAACTTTTATAATATATAATTAATATATAAAAAAATTATATATATATAGCAATTTAAAACACTAAAAACAAAAAAAATTATTAAAATAATAAAAATATTAATAATTAGCTATTATACAAAGTAAAAAATAAAAATAATGGATTCATTAAGTTTACTTTAAAAAATATTTTAATAACCTGAATATTTATAACAAATTTTATAATATCCTTATTAAAATAACCAGTTATATATTCAAAATAATTAAAGTAAGAAAAAATAAAAAATTATAAAACTTATGATATTAAATATAGGTCATATTGACCAAAATATGATAATTAATTATATATTTACTTAATAAAATAATATTTTTTTAGTCATTAATTAATTAATAAACGATAAAGAATAATTAAATAGTCAATTGAATAATTTGGAAGTAAAAAATAAAATATATTATTGTGTTTGTGTTTAAATTATAAAATATATATTATATTAATATTATTTATATATAATAAATTATAAATTATTAGTAAATGTTAATTGAAAAAAAAAAGAATAGTTTTGAAAAAAAATAACATAAAAATTAATTTTAAAATGAAAAAAAAATACATTAAGTAAAAATATTTTTAAATTAATAATTTATTTTATTTTATTTTTTTTTAAAAAAAGTGTACATTTTAAAATTGCTATAAAAATTATGAATAAAAATCTTGCTTAAACAATCATTTAAAAACTAAACATAATATATATTATAATAAAAATAATTAATAAAAATAGAGAAATATAAATAATAATAAAATACTTAATCCTGAAATTAAAATTATTTAATGAAAATTAATTATAATATATATATATATATATATATAAAATATTCTTTACTAATAATACTTATATATAATATATGTCTTTTTTATATATATATATATATATATATATATATATATATATATATATATATATATATATATATTAATTAATTAATTAATAAATAAATAATATATATATATATAATAATATATATATATNTTATTAATTAATTAATTATTATATATATATATATATATATTATATATATATNTNTATNTNTACTATATATATATATATATATATATATATATATATATATATATAAGTATAATATTCATATTATAATTAATTTTAAATTATAAAAAATAAAAAATGTTAAATTATTATATATTCAAAAATTAATATAATTATATATTCTATTTTTAAATAAAATTATTTATTATTATAAAGTTAAATATTATTATAAATAATTTTATTTTAAATTTAAATAATATTATTATTAATTTTCTTTTAATATCAAATAAATATATATTTTTTAAATAAATAATTTATATATATAATTTATAAACAAATAATTTATTTTTTCTTTCTCATAATATTAATGGATAAAAAAGGATTTCAATAATAAATTATAAATAAATAATGTGAAAAAAATATCAAAGACTTAAGTATATTTTTAGAATTTTTAAATCAAAATTAAGTAAATTAATTAAATAATATTTCTGAATTAAAAACAGAATAATATATAAAATTAATATTCTAAAAATACTTATTTTTTTAAAAAAAAAAATAAAAAGGAAAAATCTTTATAATAAAAAATAATACTTTAAATTCTAATTAAATAACTAATAATGAATACTAACCAAATTTATAAAAAAAAATAAAAACTGAACAAAATGAACAAGAAAATAAAAATATTTAATAAAATTCAACATTTTTATAATAATAAAAATTATAATAATTATAAGAAAATAAATAATAATAAGAAATATAAAAAAATCAAAACTATTTAAATTTATTAGAATAAAAAATCATATAGAAATATGATTTGAAATAAAATAAATATACAATATAAGGACAAGAAATAAATAATTAAAAAGAAAATAAAATTTAATAAATATCAAAAAAAATAACTATTTCCTAACTTATTTTATAAATAGGAAGTCCTATAGAATTATATAAGAAACTTGAAGATAACAATTATTATTTACCTCCTTTTGGGTATATTTCTATTATTTGGCTTTATAAATAAGCTTTAATATATTAAAAATGTAATTATAATTATATCTCTATATTTGTTTTAAATTATAAAAATAAAATAAGTTCCTTTAAGATCTAAAATAATAAATTGTCCTGATAATATTTTTTTAAAAAAAGATGAAATATTTTAATTTATAAAAATACATTATTAATATCTAAATCCATAAATGTAAATAAATTAAATTAATAAAATATATATATAAATACGTATATATAAATATATAAAAAATATATATATATATATATATATATATTTATTAATATTTAGTGATTGGCCTATTAATTATTTGAAAAATTTGGCTTATTCTATAGATCCTGAAAATCAAATTTTTAAATGTTTAAAAAATAAAGATCAAAATTTTGAATATAATGATAACTCTGAATAAGAGACTTTAAAGTTTTATTAATAAATTATAGATTTACCTGAGTTTCTTTAAAATAATTATATAGATATTCCTTTTATGAAATTATTTAATATTAAAAAAGATTAAAGAAATGCTTTAGTAAAAATATTAAAAGAACTTTACTTAGAAAAGAATTAAGAAAAAAGTTGATATTTCTTATTTTTTTATTAATAACTTATATTTTTATTATATAGACACTAATTAATATTATAACTCTTTAAATATAAAAGAATTATAAAAAATCGTAAAAAATGAAAAATATAATATTGGAAAAGATATTCAGAACAATGAATAAGAAATATAGAGAAAGTATTTATATATATATATTTATTTTTCTATTAAATTTTATATAAAAGAAAAGTCGTTATTAATTAAATTTAGTAAATTTAAGATTACGTTTAAAGTGAAAGCTAGAAAACAAATTAAAGTGAAAGTTAGAAAATAAATTAAAATTAATATTAGAATATTCAAAGCGAAAATTAGACTATTTAAAGCGAAAATTTGAATATTTAGAGTGAACATTAAGTTATTTAAAGTGAAAATAAAGCTATTTATAGTGAAAATTAGGTTATTTAAATTGAACATTAAGTTATTTAAAGTGAAAATTAGGTTATTTAAAGTGAAAATTAAGTTATTTAAAGTGAAAATTAAGTTATTTAAAGTGAAAAATAGGCTATTTAAGGTGAAAATAAAGCTATTTAAAGCGAAAATAAAGCTATTTAAAACGAAAATTAGACTATGTAGATTGAAAATATGACTATTTAGAGTGAAAATTAGTTTATTTAAAGTTAATATTAGGTTATTTAAAGTGAAAATTAAGTTATTTAAAGTGAACATTAGGTTATTTAGGTTATTTAAAGAGAATATTAGTTTATTTAAAGTGAAAATTAAGTTATTTAAATTGAAAATTAAGTTATTTAAAGTGAACATTAAGTTATTGAAACTGATAATTAGAATATTTAAATTGATAATTAGAATATTTAACAAAACTTATAATAAAGTCTATGAAAAATGAATAAAAAATATCACAACAATTCTTCTATATTATATAATTTAAAAATAATATTTGAATTTAATTAAAAAGCAACTTTTATTACAAAAAAAAAAAATTATATTATAATTAAATAAATCAGTATAAAAAAAAAAAAAAAAACATATTTTTCCAATAATTTTTTTTTTTTTTTTGTTAAAAAAATTTTTTTTTTAAATTCTCACACAAAAAGTATATAATAAAAAATAATCTAATTTATATATATATAAAAAAAATCTTAAAAAACTTCTTTTTTTTATTTTTTTTCCTAAAAAATAAAAAATATGAATATAATAGATAACCTATAAGATATCACACAAAATCATTAAATAACATCCAAAAACCCCTTCGATACATAAGAAGACCTATAAATATAATATATTTCAAACTAAAATATAATAAAATAACCAAGTCCAATAAAAGATTTTGAACCATTGGAATATTAAAAATCTTTAAAAGAATAAACAATTTAAAATTTTAATATAGAAAATATGGAAGTAAGTAATAAATAGGAAAACATAGAATCAAGTAAATAAAATATGGAAAATAAAGAAAATTTAATATAAGAATTTACATTTTAAGAATAAAAATATGGACTCATTTCTGAATATGAAATGATAAATTAAACTTCTATAGATAGAAAAAGGAAAAACTTACAAAATTTAAAAGAATGGGACGAATTTCGGGCTGTTTTTTTGAATTTTTAACGTTCTTTAATTGAAAGGATTTTTTCAGAAATTTTTAAAAAATTAAATTTTTCGGAATAAATTTTATAAAATTTAATAAATTATTTTTAAAGAAAACTTCAATAAGAATTGGCTTATTCAAATACTTTAGTACCTAAAATAAATCTAGTCTAATAAAAAAATGATCTATTTTAAGATTTAGTAACTTCTTTTGAAACTTTAGACTAAATTTCTTTCTAACATTCTATAAATGTATCTAAATTTGCATTTTTTATCTAAAATAATATCTTAAAGGAGCTCTTAGTGTAGAATTTGTAAGATACTAAAATTGCTTTGGATAAAATTCTGGATGAAATACGAAATTTGAAGAAAAATTTGGCCAGTATAAACTTTATTACGTCCAGAAAAAGTGGATTAGTGGCTTAAGTTTTCAATTAGAGTACACCAAAAAGTGGATATAAAAGAATTTAAGAAGATCCAAAAGATTTATATTTAATTTAATTGAGTTTTTTAAGAAATGCGGAAGAATAAAAGGAAAAATAAAGGGATTTGGGTAAAAAAATAGTATTTTTTTGGAGAGAAAGCGAAGATATTTTATAAAGAAGACTTTCTTGTATTTAAAAAGGAATTAGAATATATAAAGAGAAATTTTATGAATTTTATTAGAGGAAAAATACGGAAGAAATTGAAGAAATTTTAAAAAGAGAAGAAGAAGAATTTATTTATTTTTTTTAAAAAAAAAACAAGGAAAATTTAGAAGAAAAAAACGAAGAAAAAAAAGAAGAAAAAAAAGAAGAAAAAAAAGAAGAAAAAAAAGAAGAAAAAAAAGAAGAAAAAAAAGAAGAAAAAAAAGAAGAAAAAAATGAAGAAAATTTAGAAGAAAAAAATAAAGAAAAAAAAGGAGATAAAAATGAAGAAAAAAAAGAAGAAAAAAAAGAAGAAAAAAAAGAAGAAAAAAAAGAAGAAAAAAAAGAAGAAAAAAATGAAGAAAAAAATAAAGAAAATATTTGGAAAAATTAACAATTTTTTTTTTAATAAAATTAAAAAGAAGAAAATTATGAAAATATCAAAATATGTCCAGAGGACATTTTTGAATAAAACCATTTATAATTTTTGAAAGAATAACTAGGTATATAACGAGAATAATAGGAAATTTTATAAGAAGAAGTATTTCCCTTTTTCGAAAATTTTAACATACAAAATTTTGATAATAGAGCACTTTTAATAAAAGATTTTAGGGCATTCCGTGAATAAAAAAAAGGATAATTTATAGAAAGTCTATTAGTTATTACTGTAGATAATTATTTACATTGTTTTAATTTAAAAGATAGAGAATAGTAAAAAGAGCATTATGGATTTGATATTTATGATCCTGATTTTTCTATTAGTTTATATAATGTTATAGTTAGAAAAGGAAAAGGATTCGAAGTTGAGGTAATTTAACCAAATGGGGGATTGTTTAATATATTAGCAAAAATAGTTAGTAATAAATTCATATTTAAAAATAATGATTAAATAGAAGAATTTGTAAGATTAATTAATTTTTTAAATTGAAATAAATATAATAATAAATATATATAAATGTATATATGTAAATATATATGTTTATATATTTTTAGATATTATATTTAAAATTTTTTTTTATTATATTATAAAATTAGATGTGAAATAAAAATCTATTTTTTTATATTATTTTATTTAATTTAAAAATATAAATTAAATATAAAGAAACATAATGTATTTATAATATAAATAAATATTTAGACATTTAAATTATTAAATAACACTTAATATTTAAATATAAATAAAATTTTAAAAATATAATAAATAAATGACGAAAAAATTATATTATATTTAAAATTTAGATAAATATAAATTAAAAAAGAATTAATTTAAATAAATATAAAAATATATAATTATAAATTAAAAACATTAAAAATAATATTTTTTTAAATAATATGAAATATTTGATTATTAAATATATATATATAAATATATATATATATATATATATATATAAATATATATTATTATTTATATTAATATTTTAAATTTTATATTAATAATATGTATTTATTATATAAAATAATAAATTATATATAATAGTAGACAATTTAAAATTCTATTTATTTTTTTATTTCCAATTATTTGTTTGAATATTTTAAATTTTATTTTATAATAATTTATATCATATATGTTAAAAATTTTATAAGAAATATATTTTAAATATATTTAATGTTAATTAATTTTTTTAAAAATAGTTACATATATTATAAATAATTTTATTATTAATTAATTTTATAATAATAATTATTTAAATTAATTCAAATTAGTATACTTATTAGAAATTATAAGAATATTTTAATTACAAAAATATGAAAATTTTTATTTACTAATTTTTTTGTTTTTTTTTTTAAGAATAATACTTCCCTTATTAACAAATATTAAATTTTTAAATAATTATACTTTAGTAATATAATAATTAATAATTTTTAAACAAAGCAATAATTTAATTTTAAAATAATAATAAGAGTTTTATTTAAATATTTTTAAATACAAATTATTATAAATAAATAATTAAAAATATTACTTTTATATTATATATATACATAAATATTATAAAAGTTATATATTATATATATAATATATTTAATTTTTTTTTTTTTTTTTTTTTTTAATTTATTATAAGATAATAATTTTTATTTAATAAATATATATATATATATATATTTTAAACAATTATATATTCATAATTTTACAATAAATTTATTATTTTACCAAAAGCCTATTTCTATATTTCCATTTTTTTTATAAAATGTCCCTTCCCCATGTATATTTCCTCCTTAAAAACTTCCCATAAATTTTTCTCCATTTGATAATATTAATGTACCTATTCCATCTAAGGAATGATTTTTAAATTCTCCACTATAACATATCCAATAGTTTTTTAAATTTTCAAAATTTTTTAAATCGAATTCCTTATTTAAAATCTCAGAATTTTTATTTCTTAATCTTCCTTATCCATGATATAAATCAAATTTCCATTCTCCATTATATATTTCCCCATTTTAGTCTTTTAAAACTCCATATCCATGTCTCTAATAATATATTTAATAATTTTTTTTTAAAAAAAATTATATATTTTTTACTTTGTCACTTTTCCAATCTCCTTCATATATTTCTCCATTAGGATAATAACATCGGCCTCTTCCTTATCTTAAATTGCCTAATCTTTCGCCTTTATATCTAGGTATATTTGAATTACTAGTAGAACTTACTGAATTATTATTATTATTGACACTATTATAATATTATTATTAAATTTTTTATTATTATTCATTTTATTGTTATTATTAAAGATTTTATGAAGGTTATAAAATTTAGCCTAGTTAAACTATAATGTTTGAATTGTAAATTTTTTTATTTTATTCATTATTTAATAAATTTTCTTGTTAAAAATGCATTTAAGGAGAATTTATTGAAGAAACTCTTTTTCTCTAAAATATTTTTTTTTTTTTTTTTTTTTTTTTTTTATACTTAAGGTTTTTTAGGTTGTATTGTGTTTGAATTTATTTATGTTTTATTATTATTCTATGTATTATATTTATTATTATAAGAAGGTTTTTAAATAAAATTTTAGAAAAAAGGGTTTATACTTTATTTATCAACTTTTTTTTTATATTGACAATCTTTTAATTTATTTGAAGATGGAATAAACTAAGTTAAATTTTCAACTATTTTTCGATTGTATAAAGGTGATTAATTATTTAATTATTTAAAAGGTTTTTCAATTGATTTTGAGACATTTAGATTATTTGAATTCGTATCGTTTTGTAATAGGAGATTTTTTTATTTTTTTGTACATGTTAAATATGATTAATCAGAAATTATGTTATTCTTTAATTTATATTATATTAATGATATATTTCTTTTTTTAAAATATATGTTAATTTATATAGATTTAATTGTTTTTTTTTTACTAATTATCTTATGTTATTTATTTATTTGATGATAAAATACTTTCATTATGGATTAGTTTTTATTAAAGAGGAGATTATACTAATTGATCTTAATTAATAGAATTAGGTTATATATTAATATTAATATAAGAATTATTAAAATAAGTCTTTATAATATAAAAATATGTAAATTAAATTATTATTGTAAAAAAAAAATTAAGATAAAAAATTATAAAAATATATTAATTTATAAAATAAAATGTATTAGAAATATTATATATGTAAATATATATATATATATATAATTATATATATTTATAATTATATATTTATAATTTACATCATTTTCAAAAGATTTGCATATTTACTAGTATTATAAAAATGACTTATTTTATTGAGATTCAGAAATTTTTTATTTTTTTTATAAATTAATTTTTTTATTTTCTTAATATTATTATAATTATTATTAAAGATTTGAAATAATCAATTTATTTTAAGACTATTCATTCTCATAATATACAATTTTTTATTGTAAATCGTTAATTTTTTATTTTATTCAGAGCAAATGTTATCAAATTCTTAATTTATTTATTAATATTCTTAAGTTTTTTATTAGAATTTTTGTTCTGCCCTATCAAATTAAAACTGTTTATATTTTTATTGAAATTCTTAATTAAGTATAATTTATTCTTATTATTATTTAATTGGAAATTATTATATTTATAAACTTTTTATCTTAATTTTTATATTTCATATTATTATTATAAAATTACTAATTGTTTATCTTATAATTCCTTAATGTATAATATATATATATATATATATTTAATAATATATATTTTTATTTTTAAATATTTACAATTTACAATTATTATTATATTTATTCGCTTTCTATGATTTATTTTTAAATATTTTAATATTCTTTATCAGTTTTTATATATTTTTTATATTCTTGAACTTTATTTTCTTTAATTTCTATTTATTAATTTAATTATTATATTTATTCTTAGAATATATTTTGCATATTTATAAAATCTTATTATTCTTTTTATTTCATTTCAATTAATTAAATCAAATTGTCGTTTTTTTGCTACATTTATATGTATTATTAATCCTAATGTTATATATGCTTTATTGATTTTTGATTTTCTTCTAATAATTATTTATCTTTTTGGTTTATTATTTAATTTAATTCATTTATTTTAATTTCATATAAGTTTATTTAATCTTTTTATTATTATTATAAATTCTATTTTTTTGAAATATTTTTTAGATTTTTTTTTATTTTTTAACTTATATTTTTAGATTTAATTATACTTTTTTCTATTAAATAACTTAAAATCTTTTTTAAATTTTTTAATTTTAATTTATTTATTAACTTAGTTGATTTTCTAAATAATTTATTTTATCAGTTTATTATTTCTTTTTTTAAAAAAAATATTTCTAATTGTATTTGTTTATTAAAAAATACATTAATTTAAATTAAAGTTATATTTTCTTAAATTTTGATTTCAAATTCGCATTAAATTTTACTAATTTATTTATTTAAAATACTTTCAGTTTCTTAAAAATTATCATTTATTATATTATTTTAATTTTCAACTAAATTATTAATAAAAAATAAAATATAAATATATAAATATATAAATATATATATATATAATAATTTAAAATATAAAAACTAAATATTTGTTACAAGTATTTTATTATAGTTATTTTTCTTAATTGTTAATACTTATCTATAAGATTTCATTAATTATCTAAATATATTATAATATATGTATTAAAAATATATAAATATTTTATTTAAATATAAAATTTAATAAATATATTTATTTATAATATATATATATATATATATTATTTTTTATATATATATTTATTATTTTTATATATTTATATACTTACTTATATTTTTTATTATCTTATTTTTAAAAACATAAATTTTACTATTCAATATTTTTTACAATATATTTTATTAATTTTAATCTTTTAAATCTAAATTTAATCATTATTTTCTATTTTTTTATATATTTTTATAAATTATACTTTTAATCATATATCAAAATGTCACCTTATTTATTATAATTTTAATCTTCTTTAATTTTTAAGTTTAATTCTTCTATTATTTTTTCTATTAATATATATCATTTTTAAAAATTATTATTTATTATTGACAATCTTAATATTTATTTTCAAATTATACTTTTAATACTTCCATTTCTTTAAGTTAATTTTGAAATTCATTATTTATTTTACTTAAATTATCTATTTTATCTAAATTCTAAGTTTCTTTCTATTCTTATAAATTTTATTAATTTAATAATAATTTTTCTTTTATTTAAAATTCTTATTCTTTAATTAAATATTCTTTTTCTTTAATAAAATATTATTTTTCTTTTTATTAATAGTCCTTTTCTTTTAATAAATATTCTTTTTATTTTTATACTAAAATTTAATTTTATTAATTTAAATAAGCATTTGCCTTTTAAGCTTCTAATTTATTTTTTTTATGTTCTTTTTCTTATATATCTAATTAACTTTAAATAAAAAGAATTTCTTATTACATTTAATTTATTTTTTCCTATTTTTTTTTCATACAATATTATGTGAAAGTATTTTTATTATTGTTATAAATTTTACCTATTATTATTATTCATAATTTAATTTAAATTATTCATTTTAAAAATTTAATTATTTTATTTATTCTCTATTTTCATTGATAATTTCTTATTATTTAATTGTTTAATTTTCATATTCATAAATAATTTACTTTTTTTATTTTATGTAATATATATAAATATATATATATATATATATATTATTTAATACTTATTTATTATTTAATTCTTATTTTAATTAATCATTTTATTATTTTAAATTTTAAATTTATTTTGTATATTATTAAATTTCACATTTTTAATTATTATTTTTGTTTTCTTATTAACTAATTTAGGTTTCTTATTATTTTTAATTTATATCATTTTTAATTTTTTATTCTTCTATATATTCCGATTATTTAATTAAAGAACAAATCTATTAATTTAAATTTCTTTATTCAAGCATAAATATATCATTTTGGCTTTATATTTCAATTTATTTTTACTTTAATATATTCATTAATTTTTTTTGTTTAACATAAAAAATAAAAATTACTTAATTTTCTTATTTTAAAGTTTATAAATCCAAATTAATTTATTTGTTTTGAATCTTTTTAAAATATAATAATTTAAATAATTTTTATATAATATATATATATATATATATATATATATATATATTATAATAATTGAAAATTAATATAAAATATAAAATATACTTATAGTTATTATATTTAATATTCTAATTATTATATTTATTATTCTTTTTCTTTTATACAATTAATGCGTTTTTATAATTTTCTTCTAAATCAGAAAATTTCTATAATTTATTCTTATAATAATATATGCAATTATAATATATAAAAAATAAATACATCGCTTTCACTTATGAATTTTTTAATTTCATTTAATTAATATGTTAATTATTAATTTATTTTAGAAACGCTATCTATTTTTTATTCTTATTAATTAATTTTTTCATTTAAAAATAAAATAGTATCTTTTTAGTCATTTATTATGATATTATAATTAACTTATTCATCTGCTTAATTATTATTTTTATGTATTTATTCTTATTCTAGTTCTTATTTTAACCTATTTTATTTTAAACAAAATACTTTAAAATTTTTTAAAAAAACTATTTGATTTCTTATATTTTATCTTGATTTAATTTATCTAATTTGTTTGTTAAATTCCTTTTTTCTTCGATCTGTCTTTATAAATCAGTATCTGCCTATTATAGTTAATTATAAAGATTTAAGTTGTTTTATTCTAAATGATATATTTAAATTTTTTTAGAGGCTAACTCAGTTTCTTTTATTTAAACTTTTTCTTCTAACTAAGAAAATAAAAATTATTTAAAACAAAAAATTAATTTCTTTTTTACTTTTTTATTTTATCTTAAAATTTCTTAAAAATTCATTTAATCATCCATTTCCATATTTTTATTTTTTTATATATATTTTTCTAAATTTTATATTTTTTAAATATATTCATTAATTTTAACTTCTTATTATTATTATTTTAAAATGTTAGAATTGCTTTCTAATTTACAAGAACTATTTTAGAAATTAAATTAAAAATCACTATCTATTGTTTTATTATCCTATTAATTGTATAAAAATAAAATAAAAAATTAATAATATAAAGATAAAGAAAAAATATATATGTATATATATAAATATATATATATAAATATATATTCATATTTTTTATATATTTATTTAATTTTATTTTATATATTTCATTTATATTCTATTTTTTATTTTCATATATATTATTTAATAATAAGCCTTCATAATTTTTTATATTTACAGCTTTTTTTGTAATATTTTATATTTTTTTAATTTATTATATTTCATTTACTTCTATTTATTATGATTCTTTTAATTAATTTTAATTATTAATTGCGAATAAACTTTTTATTTCACTCTTTTTTTTTTAATATAACTTTTTTTTTTTTTTTTTTTTATATATTATTTACATTACTATTTTATTGATTAATACATTTATCTATGTTTTAATTAATTTAATTGTTTAATGTATTATTTGTTACAGTTTATTATTTATTATTTAAATTGTCATTTTAATTATAATAAATGTTATTTAAATTTTAAAAACAATTATCAAATACCACACTAGTTTATAATTTTTCATTAATTATTATATTATTTTAATTAAAAAAACTTCTTTATTCTATATTTTAACAATTATTGTACTATTCAGGGTATTAATCTGTAGATTATGTTTAATCTAATTATTATAATAAACTAAAAGTATTTAACTCAATAATTTGATTTTAATGATTTTACATTTATAATGTTAAATATATTAAAATTTGATTTAATTTAATATAAATTAATTGTTAATTATTTATAAATTTTTCAGTTATTTAGATTTAATTTATATATATAATGATGTATATAGATAAATATAAATATATAAAAATATATTTATATATTATATATATATATATATATTTATATAAATATTATTTTGATATATATTAATTTATTTATACATATATTATAATTAAAATTTTAACATTTATATTTGAAATAAAAATTTAACTATATATTTTTTCTTTATTAAATTAAATAAATATAATATAATAAATAAATTATTATATATATATAATTTTTATTCAACAACATTTACTCTTTTATTAATTTTAGTTATTTTAATTAGGTTATATCTAATATTTAGCATCTCCCATAAATGAGCTACTTGCAATACTTTTATTCTTTAAATTTTAATTAATTTATTTTAAAAATGCCATTTTAGCTGTTTCTTCGAAACACAAATCTATATTATCCCCATCTTTAGAAGATACTTCATAGAAAAGATCTAATTTTAAATCTTTTTATAATTATTCTCCCTATTATTTTGTCACTTTTCTCCTATTTTATATATAATTATTAGAAATATAAAAAAAATAAAAAATACTCGCATTCTCTATCCCTTTATGTCCCTACAAGTACAAATAAAGCGGATTCCTCTGCATTTTCTTTAGCTTCATTATACCAATGTAATATTGAATTAAATGAATCTCGACTATATATATATATATATATATACATTTTTGTTTTATTATTAATAAAAATAATTATGTTTTTACTTATTTATACTATATACTAAAAATACACCAAATGTTTTTTTATAAAATGACTTTATTATTGATCTAAAAGATTCTTAACCTGCTGTATCCCATATTTATAATTTTACTTATGCATCGCTTATTTTTATTGTTTTTGATTAAAATTCTACTCCTATTGTTGCATTATAATCTGAGGCGAATTCATTTTTTGTATATCTTATTAATAAGCAAGATTTTCCAACTCCTTTATTTAATTATTATTATTATTTTATCTATATTAAGCTATTTTTTACCCGAATCACCTACTATTATAAATTTAAAACCTATTATATTCGTCTTTTGTGTCTTGATTTTTAATCATTTTTGATTTATATAACTTTAAAATGTACGTGTTTTTTTTTTTTTTGTAATTATTTATATATTATATATAAAATAAAAAAATAATGTTATATATCTTATATATTTTATATTAAAAAAGTTTTTATTTATTTATATATAATTTAATTTAATTCTTTTTTATTTTATTTTTTTTTTAAAAAAAAAAAAAAAATTTTTTTTCTTTTTTTCTTTCTTTTTTTTTTTTTTTCTAAATTATATTTTTATATTATTTTTTATTTATAAATATTAAAATTTTTATAAAAAATCAACCAACAAAAAATATGTGTTTACATTAGTTTTTGTAAAAATGTTTTTTTAAAATAATAAAAAAAACTTCGAACGAAACGATAACATAAAAAGAAAATGAAAACCAAAAAAAATATTAATAAAAAGATTTAAATCAATAATCACCAAAATAATAAAATAAATCAGAAAAATAAATAGTTTTATCGAAAAAAAATAGTTTAAAATATAAAGAATCTGACATAAACAAATAAGTTCCTAATATATTTATATCAAATAATAGTTCTAGAATAAATATTTTAAGTAATAATAATATTTTAAATTAGAAACGTAATTAAAAAGAAGAAACAAATAGTTTATCTTTTATAAATGAAGAACAAAACAATAAAAATAATGTTAAATTTTTACTTAGAAATAATCAGTATTTTTTTAATTTGTATATTATTAATTAAAAAAAATAGTAACAAAATAATATAGTCTCAAAAGATATAGAATTAGAAAACAAAAATAAATAGCAATTAATAAATAATTAAGATAATTATTTTACAGATGAATAATGTTAATATTATTATGAATTATTATAAAAAGAAATTGTAAATTAAACTTAAGAAATGTAATTTATTTAATCTAAATAAATATATTATTAAAATACTAATTTTTATATATTTTTAATAAAATAAAAATATTTTATTTAGAAAGGAACCAATAAAATGGAAAGCAGGAAAAGAATTAGGATTTGGTTCCTTTGGAAGAGTAATTGAAGGTTTTAATAGATTAAACGGTGAAATCATGGCTGTAAAATAAATAAACATATAAAACAGCAAAAATAAAGTATATATATATATATATATATATATATATATATTTATATATATATTTATTATTTAGACTATAAAATCAATAATAAAAGAAGTAAATATTCTATCCGAAATGAAACATAATAATATTGTTCGATATATTGATATTCAACAAGATATAAACTAATAACATATAAGTATTTTATTGGAATATGTTGTTGGTGGTTCATTAAATGATATGATAAATAAATATGGATCTATAAATGAAAATTTAGTTTAAAAATATACTAAGGATATTCTTTAAGGTTTAGAATATCTGCATTATCATGGGGTGGTACATAGAGATATTAAAGGTGCAAATATTTTAGTAGATAATAATGGGATATGTAAAGTTGCAGGTGATTTTATTTTTTTAAAAAAAGAAAATTAATTTTTTATTATTTTTATCTTTTTTGTAGATTTTGGAGGTGCTAAAAAAATAATATAGCAAGACACTATATTGAGTTTAGCTGGAACTGCAAATTGGATGGGTCCTGAAGTAATTAAATAATAAAATTTCGGAAGATATTCGGATATTTGGAGTTTAGGATGTACTGTTATTGAAATGCTAACTGGAAAACCTCCATTTTATAATTTAGGGAACGCATTTGCAACTATGTTTAAAATCGCTCAAGATAATGAGTCACCTCCTTTACCAAATAATGTTAGTGATATTTGTAAGGATTTCCTTTAGAAATGTTTAAATCCAAATCCTTTAAAAAGATGGAATGTTTATTAATTGCTTAGACATGAGTTTATTAGTAGAGGTAGTGCCTAATAATTATAAAATAAAAGGTAATAATAGAGAAAAAAAACAGCTAATAATTAAAATAAAAAGAAATAAATTAATTAAATTTAAAATAATAAATAAGAAAGTGAATTATTTGATAAAAATAAATAGGATAATATTGAAAAAAATTAATAGAATGAAGAATTAAATATATAAAATAATTAGTAGATATAGTAAAAATGTAAATAAAAACCGTATTTAGAAATCGAAGTAAATTAATAAGATAGAAAAGAATGTAATAGTACTAATAGAAGAAAAAAGTTGAAAACTATTCTAGAAGAATCAAATAATTATGTATTATCAACTACTGATTAAGCCTCTAAGTATAAAAAAAATATATATAAATATTATAAATATATATATATTTATATTTATATATTTTATATATATTTATTTATTTTAATTTATTTTAATTTAATATTTTTTATATCTTAAGTTAGGCCTTTAACAATTAATTCATTTATTGTTTTAAAAATTTTGAAAGTCCTATAAATTTTTCAATTTGTAATAATTTTGCTTTGGTTTAACCTAAAATTTTTTTTAAGAATTATTAATTATAAAAATATTTTCAGGGAGATATAGTGGATGTATTTAGTGTTCAGTCTAATAGTTTATATATATTAGATTAAGAAGAAAATGGGTTTAATTAAGAAATATAAAAGAATTAAGAGCCTAATGTAAAAACTTTATGATTAAAATATTATTTATATTTTTTTTAAAATTTACAATTTTTTTTACAATTGGTTATATTTTGTCAATAAATAATATAAAATTTATATAATATAATACATTTCCTATGTTTCTATTATTAAAAAACATAAAAATTTTTAACTGTTACACCCTATATTTGACTTTAAAAAAGTAAAAATAGAACTATTCAATTATATTTTCTTTATTAACATTTTAAATATTAACAATAGTGTTTTTGTCAAACGAAATAATCGATAATATGGATTAAACATTATTTTAAAATTAATACTAGTTAATTTTTGTATCTTATTAGTTAATTATTTGAGAAAGAATGATTATCATATTGAATATTTATTAATTTATTTTATTATTAATGTATTCAATTATAACTTTAAGAAAATGAAGAATTAAAAAGTTTTTTTTTAAATAATTAAATAGATGTATTTATTGCTTTTAGTTTAAAAACTTATTTATCGCATTTTTTTTTTTTTTTAATCATTGAAAAGAGAAAAAGGCTCTTATTATAAATTTTGGGTGTAAAAGAATATATTTTTTCGGTTTTTCTAGACTATTTGTAAATTAATATTGACTATTATTTATTTTAAATATTATTATTTCCTATATGAATATATTTACTTTATTTTCAAATCTTAAAAAAAGGCGGTTTTTCTTAAAAAAATAAGTGTCTTTTACTACATGGGAATATTTATTACTTTAATATCTTTTAATAAATCATCTTTTTATTTAAATTTATTAAGTAATTTTCGGGATATATAAATTATTATTAAGATTTCTACTTTTTAATAAAGAACTGTTTTTTTTTTGTTCATTTATTATTTTCTAAATACTCTTATAGTTATATTTATTGAATAATTTTTTATATTCGCCATTAGTTTTATTTTCTTATTTAAATTTGATATTTCCTATACCAAACAAAAAGCTGAATATTATTATTATTTTTTTCCCGAAAATTCATATTTAAATGTAATTATTTAACTTTTAATTATTAATTCAAAATTAATATGATTTTTCCACTTTTTTTTTGTTCAATAAAATTTATGCTTTTTATTTAGAAATCGAATATATATTTGACCTCCCCCCCCCCCTACCCCCTCTCCTTTTTATGTATTTTTTTTATTCGATATTATTTTTGCCTGAATTTTGAATAAAAAAGAAAAACGCAAAAATTATTCTCCTTAGTTATTTGAATTATTATTAATGTAATATAAAAATAAAAAATTTATATATGTAAAACATATATATTATATATAAAAACATAATAAATTAACTTATATTGTTAATTAAGGATAATAAACTTATCAAAAAAACTATAAATAAAATGCTTTTTTTTTCGTTTTATAGACAGATAATTTTTAAAGCAGATAAATAAATACCTATTTAAATTGTATAATGTATTAAATTATTATAATTTACAAATTAAATAGAATATTAGGTGGTTTTATGTCTAATATATATAATTTAAAATATAAAGAACATAACTATATAGAAAAAATAATAATTTAAATTATAATAATAGTATTTTAACAGATTTAAATAAACTAAAGATTATATTATCATAGACTAATTCCGAAATATTCTTTTTTTTTTTTAATAATTTATGAATTAATTTTTTCTGAAAATTTTACATAAATTAAATAAACATTAACTCTATTATTAGACAAATTAATGTAATTAATTTAAAGTAAAAAGTCCATAAAAAGCTTAAAAATAAAAATATAACCTATATATTTAATGAAATCTAAATATTTTAATAAAGTCCAAATAAATTTAAACTTAACAAAAAAAAATGAAGAAAATATAAGTCTATTAAAAAAAAAAAAAACAAATGAAATTTTTAATTGTTAAATGGTTAAAAATATAATTTAGTCTTTTATTGACGGAATATTTAAATTTAAACCGATTTCGATATAAATCATTAATACTTTCGGATATAATTATCGTCTTATAGTATTTGAATCATATATTTTTACAATATTTAATATTTGTAATAAATTCTATGTAATATATTTATTTAATTTTTAGGTTTAATCCAATATTTAATGGTTTTTTATGAAATTTGAATAATAAAAATGTAAATTAAGGTGATATTTTTTTTGTTATAAAGTAAATATATTTTTTGTTTTAAAAAGACATTTAATAAGAATGAAAAATGAAAACATTTTTTTTATCATTTTACTTAAGATTTTGAAAATAGAATTATTTAATAAATAATTATATCTATTAAACATAAAAATTAATATTTAATTAAAAGTTTTTATCGATTATCAAACAAAAAGTAAAAAAAGTAAGTCTTATAAATATTTAAATTGAATATTTTTTTAAAAAAGATTAAAAGTTTTATCATTTCCTGGTATAATTTTTTTAAAAAATCGATAAATAAGACTCACTATATTGATTTTTTGATATTATAAATATCTAAAAACCTTTAAATATTAATTAATATTTACCTAAATAATTATGTAAAAAAGCATAAATGATTAATTAATTTTTGGGAAGAAAGTTTTAAACGATTAATTAAGTAAAAATATTAATACGAATTTTTATTGAAAATCATTTTAATTTTATATAAAGATTTCATAAATAAATTGAAGGAATTATTTATTAATAAAATAAAGATATTTATAAATATCCAATTAGTATTTTTTTGTTAATAATCTAAAAATATAATTATATATTGATTTAATATCAAAAAAAAAGATATTATTTAATTTTATAAAATAATAATCAAATTAAAATAGTAAATATAATAACTTTTTTTTTTTTTTTTTTCTCTTTTTTTAATATTAAAATAATAATAATTTATTGTAGTATTTTGTTTAATTTATTTATTTTGGTAAATAATTAAAATCATTTTAGTTTATGTATATCATATTTCTAAATCAATAAATAAATTAATATTTTTTTTAAAAAAAAAAATGACTTTTTTTAATATATTATAATAATTAATTTTTTAAAAACAAATTATATGAAAAAAAAACACGAAAATATACTTTTTTTATTTTAATAAAATTTTAAAAATAAATTAGTATTTTACAAAAAGAAAATATAAAAATATTATCGAAAATAGTTATTTAGCCTTTTATAATTAATTATTCAAGTTCATATTGTTTAAATGATTCCAAAAGGCATTATTTTAAAATATTAATTAAATTATATATAAAAAGCCTTGATTGATTAAACAAAAAATAAGCCTAAATGATTTTTTTTAAATTCAAAAAATTAATATATAACTTCAAAATAAAAATGTTAAACACAAACAAATATAAATTTAAGCATTAAGTTTATGTCTAAATTTTCTAATATTTTTGTTCAAATCATATATTCGAAACTTAATCTAATTTTAAATATATATATTATTTAAATATAAAGATTTAATTTTATGTTTATAAAGGTAAGAAAAATTAATATAATATTATCTATAAAAAAAAAATATTCAATTATAAAATAAAAGATTTAATTTTCTTTAATTTTTTTTAATAAAAAGTAAAGTAGAATAGATTTTCATAATATTTGTAATATTTTTTTATTTTCGAAAAAACATTTTTTTATTTATAAATATATATAATAATTATATCTATTATTTTCTATTAAAAAAAAATATCTTTTAGTTTTTTTATTTTTCTTATATAATTATATCTAAATAAATAAAAAATAAAAATTTGCAAAAATGCTTTTATAATATATATAAAAAATTAAATTTTTAATAAAAATAAAAAAATAAAATAATATTAAATATTTAATATATATGCTTTTGGAATGTTAAAAATTAAAGTAAAATTATATAAAAAATAAAATTATATATAAATATATATTATATTATATATATATATATATATATAAATATAAATATAAATATAAATATTCCTATATTAATATTAATTAATATAATTTCATATATAATAAAAAAAAACTTATTTATTATTTAAATTATATTAGTTTAATTTAAATTATTTAAGGTTTTATTTTCATTTTTTTTTTATCTAAATATGTAATATTTATATACAAATATGCATTTTTTTAAAAAAAATATCTTTTAATTGTAAAATATACTAGCAATTTTACATAAAAGAATATATTTTAGTTTATTCAAATTTATTTAATAATTGTTTTTCTAATTAGATAATTTTTTAGTTTATAATATTTATTTTTATAATAAAAAAACTAATAAAAATTATAAAATATAATAATATATTCACTAATTAGGATTATTTAAATATTAATCAATAACTGTAATTAATTCTTAATCATTAATTTAATTTCTAATATCTAACAAAACGGTAGTATTTCTAAATTAAATAGCACTTTAAATAGCTCTTTTTGTTTATCCTAATCTCAATAAAATCTATACAATTTCTTCTACATTGTTTATTTTTTAAATAACATTATAAGCAATATTTTCGTGTCCTTTTTTAATTAAAATATCAGCCACCAAATCGTATGGTACGATAATTTTTTTCTTATTAATATTTTCAAGTACTAATTCAATATCTTCTATATTATTTTTTTCTATATAGGATTATATTTTAGCGAATCCTTATCTTTTTTCACTTATTGAGAATTCTTTTTTCAATTTTAATTCTATTTTTTCCTACTGTGTACTTACAGACTATTAATAAAATTAATTAATAGATATTTAATTCCAATTTTATCCTTACATAAATTATGTATATAAGATATTGTATTATTTAATCATTTTAGAATAAAAAGGATCCTAACTTTCTTATCCAAAAAGAGTGATTATTTATTTGAGTAATTCTTGTTTTTTACTTTAATCATTTGTATTAAAAAATTTAAGAAGATTAAAAAAACCAGCCTTTATATATTCTTTGGAATTAATAAGAAAATTTTAAATAGAAGCATCATCTTAGTGAAAGATTTTCAAATAATTAACAAAATGAATACTGGAAATTTAATGTTTTTTAATTTAATCAAATTTATTTTATCCATCACTATTCCATATTTTCATCAAAACTAAATAAATCAAATTCGAATCTCTACTTTTTATACTTTCATCTAAGGCTTTTTCAAAATATCCTGTTAATTATTCTTAAGGACAATTACTTCCCATCCATAATAAAAATGGAATTTTTTTCTATATACAAGGTTCAAACTCTAATAATTTCAATGCTAATAAAGGTTTTCCACATTCTAAAGCTTTATCTGCTATTTCTGTGAATTAGATGCTATTTTCTTATTTTATTTTATTATATATTATTTAGGCGAGTATTTCATCTGGCTCATTTGTCATTACTTTGCAACAAGCCCAATGTACATAAATATAAGATTTTAATTTAGGTGGAAAATGCAAATGCCTACAAATTTCACTTGATAAATAATGATAATTATATCTAAGAAGTACTTTTATTAATATTTCCTATTTAATATTTTTCAACTAAAAACATGTTATGGTCCTATTTACATTCTACAAAGCATGAGTTACCCTTAAATTTCTACAAATATCAGTTATTAAGCCTGGATCGAGAGTATTTTAAGGCAAAAACATCTTCCCATAAGAAGCCGCCCTTAATAATAATAATTAAACATTATTATTTAATTCATAACCGCTTGCTTCTATGCAATCTTGGACTGCCTATAATAATTATTCTTTATTATTCCTTATATCTTATTCCCTTAAAGGATCACGGTTTTGGAGACTTTTATAAGACTGGAAAAGGAGGGCGGCTGGATGGTTTGAGAAAGGCTGGAAAATATTAATATAGGAAGAAGGGGAGAGTCTTAGAATTTGGTTTTTGTTTAAAGAAATGATTTTTATACCGTCAATTTCTTAAAGGCAAAAAAAAGAGGACTAATTTTCATCCTCGAATTACGCTTTTTGTTCTATTTACTCGAAATTAGAAATGTTATTGAAGGCTTTTTTCCTTTTGGGAAGTTGGAGTTTCTTCCACTCAGTTTTACCGATTAAAAATAAAGAATTTCTTATGTGGATTATTAGGCAGTCTTCACCACACCACATCATTTTTATTTGAACTTTTTTTTTCTATATATTAGTTTTTTCTGAATATTATTATTATTATATTTAATTATTTCCTTTTATTTCGATTTATTATTCAGTTTGTTTCTATATTTATTCCAGTTCTTGTTAATATTCGCTATTTAAGTCGATTTCTATAGAATTATAAGTCTCAAAATCACTCGATATTACATGTAAAGTCCATATACTCTCTTTCTAAAATGTTAAATATGCTACGTATTTATTCCTAGGACTAGAAGCCATTTGTATTATATTTTGGAGAGTTGTGGGTTATCCGGTACTAAAAAAAAGTGTCTTTTAGTCATTTTCGGCTATAGAAATTATCCCTAAATTATTTACGTTCGGTATTTATAATTCTATTTTTTCAGATAGTGTATATTCTGAAGGAATTACTATCCAACAAGGTATTTAATCGGTTATTAATGGATTTATAAACTCCATTACATGAGGATCCATTAGATTTTAAACATAAAAAAAAAGATTATTTTTAGTTTGAAATGCTAGTCCATTTCCTTACACCTTTTTTGCTTTTTTTTTATATATATTTAATTATTTTTACTTTGGCATCTATTATAATTTCTTTTTGGAATTTTAAACCGAAAGTATATTCTTTTTTTTAATTTAAGGCTTTTTTATAAGGATCAATTAAAAAATATTAGCCATCTTCAATTACTACTAATAATAGTTCTTCAGGGGTGAAATCAAAACATGCAATTGTTTTGTCTTATTTAAAATGCACTTAAGATAGTAATATACCATTATTTGAGTAAAAACATATGTTTTCTCGTAGAGGATCGCTTGGAAGATATATATCTTGACGAGAAGGGTCTTTACATACTGCTATTGGACCGCCGAATTTTGATACGGATACTTTTTTTTCATTGAAATTAAAATTAAACTCATTTGTTAGTTGGATAAATTCCTAAAATTAGAATTTTTAATCATCAAGATCTATAAAATTATGATTCGAATCCATTTTTTAATCTTTTTTTTAATACAATTTTTATAATAATTTTTATTTTAAGTAAATATTTTTTTTTTTTTGAAAAAAATATAAATATAATATATTATTTGATATTTATTTATTTAATTATAATTATTTATATTAAAAAATATTTAAAACAATTTATTTATTTAGAAATTTTTTATAAAAAATATTTAAATTAGTCATTTATAGTTGATTGTTGATATTATTATTTATTTTAATAAATGTAATAATAATTTATTATATTGAATATTTATATAAATAAAAAAAAATTAAAAATAAAAAAAAATTATAAAAATATAAAAAAAAAAATTATATATATATATATATATATATATATATATAAATATATTTATATATATTTACATATATATTATATTTTAATATTTATATTTAAATTAATTTGTTTTAAATATTCTATATAATTAATATAAATATCATTTTTTTTAAACGTTAATTTTAAATAATTTAAAATAATTTATTCAATGTGTATTATATTTTAAATGTTTTCAAATAAATATATATTAAATTATTGTTTTTATTTAAATATAAATTTTTATATATATTACTATATTTAATTTAATTATATATATATTTTTTTTTTTTCAATATTAAATTTTAATTAATTAAAACATTTTCGTAACTTTTTCATAAAGTTTTCCATTTTTATATAGTCTATTAAGTAAATAATATAAATAAAAAAATAATAAAAATACAAATTAATATTAGATAAAGTTTTTGCTAAAATTAAGCCTAAAATTATTTTTAAAATTTTTAATTTTCCTGATTTATTTATATAAGTTTTTAAACAAATTTCCACTTCAGAAAATGGTTTTGGGTTTTAAATTCTAATTTTAATCCAATTTAAAATTAACCTTTATATATATTAATTTTCATCATCTTATATTAGTTCATGTGATCCATTTTATATAATTTGTAAAGTTTTATCATTACTTTTTATTGATTATATGAAGTTTTGTGCATTTTCAATATTGCATACACAGTCTTCTTTTCCTTATAAAATAATTATTGGATAACTGAATTTTTCTGAATTTAATTTTAATATTTTTATCCCATTTAATAAACTTTTGATCATTTAAATGTAAATTTATTACACTACTAATTAATTTTTTTTATTTAAATTTTATTAAAGAGTCCAATTTGAATATAATATATCCTTTTTTTTTATAATGGAAAAAAAAAAAAAAAATTAAATCTAATAAACTATATTCAAAAAAAAAAAAATATTAATAATAAATATTATAATAAATTTTATTATTAAATAATACGTTTATAAATACCCCAATAATTTCCCCTAATAATCTTACTCCATATTAAAAAAAATTACTTTTTTTTCCATACCCGTTTTCATCTAAAAGTGGAGCAAGACAAATAATTCCACTTATTTATAACAAAGGATTTCTTTGTCCAATACTTAATATTAAAGTTGCACCAAGTGAATGTCCACATAAAAATAATGGTAAATCTCTTTTTACTTATAATAATAATAACTCTATATCTTAAATCATTTCTTCATAATTTGAATTACCTTTAATACCACCTGAATATCTATAAAATAATTATATTTATAATTTAGTATTTTTTTTTTACCCAAAACCTCTTAAATCTATTAAATGAACTAAATAATTTTATTTTACAAAAAATTAAGCAAATTCGTAATACATTTCTGAATACTAACCCAATCCATGAACTATTGCTATTTAACATATAGGAATTGTAGATTTAGGAAATATTTTTGTATAATAAAGTTTTAAAGGAATATTATTGGTGCTTTTTTATTAAATGTATTAAGTTTTTATAATAATTTCTGATTAATTATTCATTTTTTGTTTTGTTTGATAAATAAATATATATTATTTTAATTATAACTATTTTAAACTATATACAATTTTTTTATTTATAATTAATAATAAAAATAAAATAATTAATATTAGAAAAAAAAACTTTGCATTTATAATATTTTAAGCAAAAAAAAAAAATATAAAAAAAATAAAAAAATATTTCATTATAAGAGAGAAAAAAAAAAATATTATATTATATTATAAAAAAAAAATATAAATGAAAAACATTTCAGAAATAACATTCGATAAAGAAAACATAAATTAATTAATATAAAACATAATAAGCCTAAAAGGAGATAATGGAATTCCATTAATGGAATAAATAAACATTGATTATCTAATAAATTTAATAGACAAACCAAAAATGGAACTAATAAAACAAGAAATAGATAAATAATAAAAATAAACAAAGGAAGTAGATTTAATAGATTTTATTTACATATTATTGACAAATTTAGAACACAAATAGGAAGAAACTTTCTATTATATAATATCAATAATAGATTTATTCAAAAAAATAACTGAAACAAGCAAGAGTTCATTTACTCATATAAATTTTAATTAATTAACTGACTATATTTGTGAAGTAAAAATATATATATATTTAGTAACAACAACAAAAATAAAAAAAAACAGTATATTATAAACAAAGATGTTTCAGTATATAAAATAGATACAATAAAAGTTTGTCCTTAAAAAAAATATAACAATAATTCAAAAATTCGAAAAATAGATATAAATCCTCCTCTTATATATGGAAAAACAGAAGAAGGAATTAAAAGATTAAACCTAAATTCTTTAAAAGCAGATTCATATCGACATAATAATAATAGTATTACAAAAGGTGTTTATGTATAAGATATTTAAAGAATACTTATTTTAGATTATTTATGTAGTTATATTAGTTTATATAAATTAAATATGAAATATGATCATAATGTGCCTATTAAGTAAAATAAAGAAAACGATATAATCCTTTATTTTGCATATTCATAAATTGAATAAAGAGTATAAAAATAATTTGTCTTTTATTAATATTTTTAAAAGATTTATATATATATTTTATATATATATTTTATATAAATATTATTTTATATATATATTTTATATATATATATCTATATATATATATATATCTATATATATCTATATATATTTTGTTTTTTTTTGTTATAAATTTTATTAAGATTGGTGCATGCTTATAAAATTTATGTTTATAGTTTTGGGATTGTAGAGGTGATTATAAGTTTAGTAAAATATTTGATATACATAAATTAGTAAATGTTGTCTAAAATAAGATATTTTATATAGAAAGTTTCAAAATATGGATTACTACTGATTCTTTATATCATATAAATGTATGGAATATAGAAAAAGAAGTTTTAAGTTTTTAATTAAATAATAATAAAAAAGTTATAGAAGGAGAAATAATCGATATAATAGATATAATTCATTTAAAATTAATAGGAGTTGCCTCTTTAGATAAAAAAATAAGTATATGGGATTTTAATAAATAAATTTAGGTTTAAATTATATCTCTTGATAATTCAGGAATCCATCATTTAGTGTATTTTTACTCCTTTTAAGTACTTTTAAGTTGTGGATTTGGTAATAATATTTTGGTACATAAGATAAACCCAATCTATTTTGACCATGATATATAAGGTAATCTAATCGGACATTAAAGTGTAGTTACTGCAGTTTAGGTTATTGAAAAAAGCCCTATGATTGTTAGTGGAGACTATTTGGGGTATGTGAAAATTTGGGATTTGAGAAGTTTAAAGTGTATACAAAGCGTTAATTTAGGGGAAAAGAGTATTATTTAGGACATTATTTATATTGAATAGGAAAATATGATTTGTATAGTAGGAAACAGATTAAATTTTATATATTTTGATTATGGAATAAAATAATAATAATAAGAAAATTGTGTATTTCCAATTAAAGTTGAAGTTAATTTAGAAAAAGAAGAAATTTTAGTCTGTACTAGAAAAGATTTGAGGTTTTTTTGCCTTAATAGTGGTAAACTAAAATATTAGTTTAATGGACTATTGGATAATTAAGACGATGAAATTAGTTGTTTTTAAAGTTTTGAGTAATATCAGAAATTTGCTTTGAGTGATTAAAAAGGGAATATTTAAATTCATAGTTTTATAAATGGGAAAAAAGAGAAAAGTTTAATTGGATGTGTTGTGGAGATTTCGGGTTTAAAATTTGATTTTTTAAATAAACTTTTTATAAGCTCTTCCTTTGATGGTAAGATTTTTATTTAAAATGAAAATGAGTTTAAGAGGTAAATTTTAAATGTTTTCTATAAAAAGGAAATTCATCTTTTGGAAATCTCTGTTTATCATAATTTAATTGTAGTCTGTAATTTCCATAATAATAATATTTATATTTTTAATTATGAGTATTGTAAACTCGTATCTTGTATATAAGTAGAAGGAAGCCCAAGTAGTTTATAATTTATAAATAGATTTGAAATACTTATTATAAGTACATCAAATGGAAAGATTTACTTATTAAAATTTGAGTAAAATGAATTAAAAATCTAGTTTTAGTTATTAGATTATTTATCGTTTTTTAAAGAAAAAGAAGAAGAAGAAAACTCAAATAAAAGTTCTGGTTTTATTAGTTTAATGGGATAATTATAACGATTAACTTCAATAAAAAATAAATTTTTAAAAAATACTGAAAGTCCTGATAATTTAACTCGGAAAAATACTAAAAATTCGACTTTTAAGAAAAATTCTTCTTTTAAATAAAAGTCACCATTTACTCATAAATTTTCTAAAAAAAAGTCTTCTTCTTCTTCTTTTGAAAATAAAGAACTAAAAATTGATGAAAATTCGGAATTTTGTACAAAAATTTTAACAGAAATTTCAATTGAATCAAAAAAACTTCAAAATTGTATTATTTATGCTTGTACTAATAAAGGGAATATTTTTATAATTGATTGTCAGAATTTGTTTAAAATTCATCATTTTTTTTAAAAAGAACATGTCAATTAGAAATAAAATTATAATCCTTAGAGGACATTAACCGAAGATTTTTAAGTACAAATAGACTAGGCTTAGTTCGAGAAATTAAAACTGTATAAAATTAAACGATAGAATAATCTTTTGAATATATAATAATAATTTAAAGCACATTAGGATTCTATTATAGGGATCGATAGTACTTTTTTAGGCAAGAAGTGTATATTTAGTAGTTCTTTGGATTCTTATGTTAAGTTTTGGAAGATTGATGGATTATAATTAGTCGCAAGTTTAAAATTAAGTCATCCTTTACCCATATTATGGAATATAAATGTAGAAAAAGAGACTTTAATGAAAAAAAAAATACTCTATGGAATAAAAATATGGAAAATTTTAGGAGAAAAAAAGGATAAATATTTTAAAATTATTGGAAATTTTGATTTTTTAATGAAAAAAAAAAAGAAAATATAGATTTTTAAGAAAAAAATACAAAAAAATAATAAGAAAATGAAAAAATTTTAATGAAAGATGAATTTTCGCCTCGAGACTTAAATTCTGAATAATCATAAATTAAATTATATGGTGAAATTGGTGGTATGTCATTAAAATAAATGGAAACTAGGAAAAAACTAAAATAAATAGAAGAGATTAATTAATTAATATATAATTAAGACGAAGAAATTTAAAATAAATGTAATAATTAATAATAAGAAATATAGACTGTTAAAAAAAAAAATGACGAACTTATAAAAAATATCCTTTTTTTATCACCAGATTGGCGAAATTAAATAATGAAGAATTCTTAAAGTAATTAATTTTTTTCTAAATAAACAATTAGTCTTTAAAAAAAACTCGAAAATAATAATGGAGGAGGTTTAGAAGATATTTATCATTAAAAAAAAAAAAAAATGCATACAAAAAACACCAAAAATATGAATTAATTTTAATCAGAAAGTCGCTTTAATAGCTAGAATAGTATTAAAAGTTTAAAAAATAATAATATTATAGATTATGCTTAATAGAAATAATATCTTTCAGGTTATTAGGATTCATTGGATATTTAGAATAATTTACTACCTATTATTCATAATAAAAGTACTATATAGTAAATTTTAATTAATGCTAATTAAAAATTAAAGTATTCTAAGGCAAATTTAATTAGTTTTTTATAGAAAAATTGAAAAAATATCATATTTTATTAATTTATTATTTGTAAATAAGCTTTAAATATATATTTTTTTATATAAATGTATTATTTATTGTTTTAAAAAGTTTAGATATATATATATAAATAGATATTTTAATTAAAATATAAAAATTAATTTAAGATCTTGTTTTTTATAAATTAATATAAGGTAATATTAATCCAATTAATCTTATTTTATTATTTTTTTATTGAATTTATTTAAAACTAATAACTTTTTTAAAAAATAATAAATAAATATTTATTTTTTATCCCTATTCTATATATATTTAAAATTTGAATTTTTTCTCTAAATTAATATTTTTTCTTTGTTTTATGAATATATTTTTACAAAGAAAAAGAATTTTTAAATTATTTAGATAATCTTTAATTAAATTTTATATCTTTTATAAAATATAGGTTTTAAGAATTTAATTTATTATGATATAAGGAATGTTTATTTCTTACTTTTTTATATTCAAATTTATCAAGTAACTTTCATTAAATACGATTCTTATTAAAATTTATGTATGTGTTATAAAAACTAACATTTTTTTAAGAATTGTTTTGCTTTAAATATTTCTTTTAATCATATTATTAATATTATTTTTAGGGAGAATAATAGATATATTATTAAAAATAAAATAACTATTATTTTAGAAAATAAAAAAAGTAATTAAAAATTTATATCTTGTTAATTTTAAATTATTAATATATATTCTATTATGTAGTTTATTATTTAATTTTTTAATAAATTATACTTATTATTTAATTCAATATTTTATTATATATATTTATGTTTTTCTCTTTTTAAGAAAATTAAAATAAATTCATTATTAAAAATTTAAAAGATATAAATTTATTGAGTATATGTTTTTTTATAATAATATTTTTTTTAACTTTTAATATAAATATTTATTTATTTTATATTATAAATATTAATATATTTTATTTTTTTTCATTAAAAACAATTTTAAAAAAAGTAAAAAAATATACAATTTACTTTTCAAAAAAATTGAAAAAGTAATATAAATAAATTTTATGTCTAGCGGCTAATAAATAATAGAAAGAATATTAAAAAGCTATTAAGTAGATTATACTTCGAATGTATCAGGAAAATTAAATGAATATATGATAAAATATACACAAGATATATTGAAATAAGCAAGTTTATAAGCAATATATTCATAGAAAGATAATATATCATTAATAGAAATAAGGCATTTTTTTAAAAAAATATATATGCATTAATTTAAAATATATATATATGTTAATATTATATTATATGGATTAATATATATATAAATTAAAAATATTGATATTAAAAATAATAGATAGGCAATATAAACAATAAATAATGACAGAAATAAAATTAGTAATGAAGAAATAAATAATTTATCATAAATAAAAAATAATGAAGCATTTATTGACAAAAATTATATATAATAATACAAGAGTATATATAATGAAATAAATAAAAAAATAAACATTTAGCTATAAGTGTTTCATATGAAAAAGTAATTTTATTTATTTTATAATAAAAAAAATAGAAAACGAAATAAACAAATAAAAAGAATTAAATAAAATAAAATTATTATAAGAAAAACTGATCCTTCATTAGAATATTTTTATTAAGAATAAAACCATAAAATAATTAATAATAATAATAATAATAGTAATAATAATAATAATAATAATAGTATATTTCCAATTAATAAAAGTATAAGAAGATAGTGATGATAATTATGAATGAATTTTTTATATTTAAATTGATTGTAATATATTTAGTATGTTTTATGTATATTTATATGTATTTTCAATTTTTTTTATTCATAAAATAATAGTTTATGAAATTAAAAAATTTTTAAAAATAAAGATATATTTTTTTAAAAGATATGAAAATAAGTAAAATATATATAATAATTTAAAACTTTATAAAAAGTAATTTATTATTAATAATTTATATGTTTTTTATATAAAATTTTAAATATAAATAAATAATTATTAATAATAAAAAAATACATGTTTAAAAAATCATAAAAAAAAATATATATAAATATTAAATATATACATATATAAATATATATATATATATATAGATATATACATATATTAAAATATCATTTTATAATAATAATTTTTTTATTAATAATTATATATTTTATTAGAAATAAATATTTTTGAATATTTTATTTTATTTAGTTTTATTTATCTTATTTTTATTTTTATTTTTATTTTTATTTTTTATTTAGTTTTATTTATCTTATTTTTTTATTGTTATTAAAGGATATTATATGTTAATACAAAAGTATTATAAATTTAATATATTTTTTATAACAAACATATAAATGTATAATATTTTCTTTATTATTAAATAATAAATAAAAATTTATGATAAATGTATTTACTGTACTTACATATTTTTCCTTTTTAGCCTATTTACCCTACCACTATTTAATTATTATACTATAATTTTTTCAATTATTTCATTTCTTATTTTTTATTTTTTTATTTATATTTAATAGATTCATTTTTTTTTGTAACCATCTTTATAAACAATTATTTTTTAGTGATTTTGTTAAGAATTTTAAACTTTTTCTCTTTGCTTTTTCTATGCAATAAGTTCAAAAGCAAAATTGTCTTTAAATTAATTATCTTAATTAAATCCTTCTCAAGCTACGTTTATTAAATTATACTTGAGTGAATTTTTTATTGGTAAATCGATTAAAATAATCTTTTGTATATAGACTATATTTTTTAGTTATATTGTCTTAAAGAAAAACTTGAATAAGTGAATTTTTGGTTAAAGAATTTTTATATATACATTATATTGAATAAATAAAGAAATTTTTTATCATCTTTTATATTCAAAAATAAACTGAAATATCCGATATATAAAAAGTTTTTGGACTAATTATTAAATTTTTATTAGTCTAAATATATACAAATGAAAAATTATCCGTATTTATTTGTATTCTCTAGAATTTTTACTAAATCTATTCCATTGCTGTCAATAAGTAAATTTGCAATATCGAATTTCAGACTTATATAGCATCTTTTTTATAGATATCGATTAAGATTGTACCCTCCGAATGTGCATCTGATCGAATTTTATAATCGTAAGGATTATTATCATTTCAATGCACTATTTAAGCTTTTTTATTTAGTGTTTATTTGATAAGAGCTTTATAAAGGGGATTCTTTATCATTTATTTAGGTTTTGGAAAGATATATTTGTTATTAAACTTTTTTTCATTTTTAATTTTTTATATTCAAATATATATTCAATTAATATCTATGTTGTGTTTTTTTTTTTTTAAGTAATTGATATTTATTGAATTTAGCTTTTTTATTTAAGAAATTATTTATTGCATTTTTATTTTTTATGTTTATTCTTAAATGATATAAGAAATATCATCTTTTTTTGTGGTCATTATCGAATTGTATTTTTTTTAATTTCTAAGTATTTTAATATTTTATAAAGTATTAATAATTGTAATAAAGAAATAATATTTAGTTTAATTTTTTAGTATTGATAATTTTTAGTTATGATTGTAAAATAAATATATATAAAAAATAATTATATATATATATATATATTAATTTCATATTTGTAAAAAATGTTTAAAAATATTTATAATTATATTTTAAAATAAATATTTTATATATATATATAATATTTATTGATAAATATAAATATAAATTTAAACTTAAAATAATTTTTATTTCTATAAAATTAAAAGAAGATAGATATCATTAAGTTCATCATCTACTATCACTATTTCTTTTAGATAGTTCAAATAACAATAAACCTAAAGCCCAAGTAGGTTCTTAAGTTTAAATTTCAGAAGGCGATTAAATTTGCATATCGCCAACTCCATAACCATCAATAAGTAAAGTAGAAGCATAAAGTCCTTAATAACACTTAATATCAATAAACTTATTTTTAGGTTCCTTAGCCACTACATCTTAATGTTTTTATTTACAAAACTCAATTGCTGCATTTCTTAAATCATGTGGATTAAATTCAGGGACATCTCCAAAGTAAGCTAATTTAGCATACAAAGCAGCACTTACTGCATATGTAGTTTTTCCTTAAGGTCCTTTGATGAAAATTGATTTAGCACTACAATTTTTTTCATCAGGGTAACTGCAATTTGATATTTAGAAAAGATTTCTGATTTTATTAATACAGTTTTCTGGATTTCCTTAACCTTTGACAATTTTTCCTAATCTAGTATCATTATTTTCAAATCCTTAATTAAAACAGGAAGCATAGGAAATATTATCTGCCTTTACTTCAGATTATAAGATTTCATATCTAGAAACATCCATTCCTAGTAATTCGGAAGCTCCTTTAAGTGTAAAATTGAATTTTTATTCAGGTAACTAAGGTACTTGTAAAGTATAGAATTCCTCCGCTTCTTAATTATCGATAATGTCTGAGAATGCAATTTATGTAGAAGCACCTCCAATATCTATTGTGGTGACTGTTTCAGGGTTATCTACATCGGATTCTAAGGAAATGTTTTTTAGCATATAGTTTACTGCTACCCATAAGAAAACAGCTTCTTCTTCTCCATTAATAACTCTAGAACGATCATCTCCTAAGAATAAAAATCCTGAATTTCTAAAAAGAGTTCTGATTCTATCTATTATTACAAATTATTACATTTTGGTAATTAATCTCATACCAGCAGTTGCACCAAGCATTAATAAAGTCGAAGAGTGTTTATCTTCAGGAATTATTGACTTTATTTTATTGAAAAAGGGGTTGAAAATACTATCTAAAGCCTAAGGATTAGTATAGTGTTTTGCGATGGGATTATTTACTTTTTCAGATAAAATTTGGCTGAAATCTAATTAAGGGAGAGAACTTTCAGATCTACATTCCCATTAATATACGTAATAACGGGTACCAGAAGAACCACAATCGAATACTATTCCATAACATTTATCTTAAGATTCTGATTATTTTTATTAGATTTTTTTATTGTATTTGGTTAGGAAATGACTTGGGTTGTGAGATTTTATCTTTGAATTAGCTATAAGAGAGTTTATAGAAAGAATTAAAAATATTATTAATATCTATGAGGCTTTCATTATATTTTTTTTTAAATAGTTTTATTTTTAATTAATTTATATATATTTAAAAATAAAAATTAATTAAAAGATAGATATAATTTTAAATTATAACACTATTTAAATTTTGATTTATTTATGTTTTTTATTTTTTAAAAGTAATTAATTTTCTCTCGTGCTTTTTTTTTCTAAAATATTTTATAATGTTTTTTACTTTATTTATTTTTAATTTAAAAATAAAAGTATTATTTACATAAAGAAATTAAACTATAGAAGTATAAAAATAATTTTATAGTCAAATATTTTTTCTAGATTTTATTTTTATTCATTAAATAATTAAAAAATAAATCAATAATGTATAATATGATAAATTTATTTCGCTTCTTTAAATAATTTTATTAAATAAAATTTAAATAATTATGTGTTTTTTTAAAAAAAATAAAAGAAAAAAAATAATTTATATTATTTGAATTTTTTTTAAACATATAATTATATACTAATAAAAAAATTTCAAATAAAATAAAAATAAATTTTATATAACAAGTTTATAATTTAATATTTATTAGCTTATTATTATATTTTTAAAAAATAATAAATAAATATAAAAAATTAATTTAACTTTCAAAAGATGTTTAATAAATATTATATAAAAAAAAAAGATTAAAATATTAAATTTGTTTTAATTTTTTATTATTATAAATATATTGTAAAATTTACTTGATAATAGATAAGAAATTTTTAGTAATAAATTATTTTTATAATATTTTTAAAGTAAATTTAATTTAATTATATATATATATATATAAATATATATATATATAATATATATATTTTATATAAATTATTTAATTATGTTAACAAAATAAATTATAATATAATTTAATACATTTAGTTTAAGCTTTTTTAAAATTATTTTTATAAGAAACGAAAAAACTCTATTAATTTTTTAATATGAGAATTAATTATTGAAATATTATAAAAAATAAATTTATATTTTAATTTTTCTAACTATAATTATATAAACTAATTTATGGACTTTTATACTTTTTTTTTATTTATTATAATTTGTATATTTATTTTAAAATTCAACTTTTTAATACTTATATCTATAAAAACTATAATTCAAGTCAATTCTTTTTTTTAAAAATTTTTATATTTTTTTAATAAATATTTTAATTTTTAACAAAAAAATTATATTTTACCATTTTTTTATTTAAATAAAATAATATTTTTTAATTATATATTTTATTAAATAGTTTTAAAAAAATTAATATAGATATTAATTTATTTAAAAAAAATAAATATAATATAAAAATTAAATAAAAAGAAATACTTTCTAATTATTTTTTTAATGAGTATAGAATTTATGAGAAATTATATAAAAATATTTTATATTTTTATTTTATTCATATTTTAATTTCTTAAAAAAGATATTTAATTTTTTTTTTTTATTTTATATTTTATTTTAAATAAAAATAAATAATATGATTAAAAAATTTTGTTATGCATTTGTTGCCAATGCTTTTTTTTTCTCATCTTATTAAATATATATAGGAGATTATTTTAATTAAGGTTAAATTTATAAGCAAAACTTATAAATGAAAAGAGTTTATGCAATACATGTCGAAACTTAAAAATAAAAATAAAAATAAGAACTCATAAAATTAATAAATAAATTAACCCAATAAAATATATATGGGACATTTTTACTTTATAGATTGAAAATGATTAAAAAAGCGATAATGCTAAATTTATAATGGGTATTTATTAATAAACTTATATAAGTAAATATATAAAAAATTATATATAGGAATCGAAGCAACAGAAAAAAATATAAATCAATTATATAAAATAAAGGATGAGTATAATATTTGCGATTTAAACGAATTTAAAGCTGTATCAACTAGATTAGATTATAGAAATAAATTTTAGAGTTTAGCATATTTACAAATGAAATATATTGTGAAAAAATAGTTCTAAAAATATATATAAAGTTAAATTAATGATTATAAAAATAAATCATAGTTTTAGATTCTTTAAAGATTTTAATTTAATGAAGATAACAAAATCGAATTCTTCGAAATTAATTATATTTATGATGAAGAAAATATATAAGAACATTTTGAAAATAAATAAAAGTCAAAATAATTTAATGATGATGATGATAATGATTTTATATATGAATAATAATGATATATAATTATTTAATTTAGGATAAAATACATATTAAAGAAAAAAAATAAAAATAACAGGCTAATTTTTTTTCAATTCTGTTTATATTAAAATTTGTTTTACTTTTGTTTATTTTAAAATTGTTTTTTACTATTAAAATATTTTTGGTTATTTAAAAAAAAAGTGAAAAAGTATAAATATATTTAAGTTTATATATTTATATAAAAATTTATATATATATTTAAATACTTATATATTTTTAAATAAATATATTTATAAATATATATATATATTTATAAATATATATATATATATTAATCAATTAAAACAATAATATATGTAAAAAAAATACAACTTTTATATAAAAATATTAAGACTAAACATATATTATGTATATATGTTGTCATAGAACATATTTTTTTGAAACAGTAAAATTCTTTTTAAATGTAAACTTACTGAAATCAAAAACATCAATTCTATTATTTTTAAATGAGTAGGTATTATTATTAATGTTAGTATATTACAAAAATCTAATATATTTAATTATATAATATATATAATTAATATAAAAAAAATATATATATAATAATAATTATATATTATATTTTATATTTATTAATATTTTTATTTTATATAATATTTACTATTAATTATTATGTTCTTATTCTAAAGCACTTTCTAATTTAATGGCTTTATATAAATCTTCTTTATTTCCTTTTTTATTAGCTATATAATATAATTCTTTAATTTTTTTTTTAGTAGTTAGATAATCTGGTTTTATCCAGAAAATTTTATTTAAATTAAATTTAAAATCATCCCATTAAATAGTCTAAGGTTAATTTTCATTTTATTATTAATAATTATCACCTTAAATCAATATAAAAAAATCTTCTTTTGAGCAAGAAGGCACTTTTCCAATAAATAATTAATCTTCAATTAAATGATCATAAATTTCATTTAATTTTTCTATAGAAATCACTCCTTTTTTATCTTTTTTTTTTTATAAAAAAAATAAATAAATAATTATTTATATGTATTTTATTTTAAAAAAAGTAATGCCTTTATCATATTATTTAAATAAAGGAATTAAAAGGTTTTTATCCCATTCTGAAATTAGACTAAAGGGTTGTTCTTTTTTTCTTTTTTACATTTCTTCTTCTTCTTTTGTCATTGGTAATTTATTAGGATTGTGTACAATTAATTTCCCTGTTTTTAATAAAATTTCAGCTTATTTTTCTTTTTCAATTTATTCTTTCTACATTTTCTTTATATTATTAACTTCTATATATAAATCTTTTTCTCCTTAGGAAAATTAGCCAGAGGGAGGAATTTTAACTTTAACTTCTAATTCTTTTTTTTCTTAGCAAATTATAAATCCTTTTCCATCAATTATTTAGCTTTTTATTTTCAGCAAATGAGACATCTAAAATTTATAAAATAATAAAATTAGAAATATAAAAAAAATAATAATAAAATATAAAATAATAGATATAAATAGAAATATATATATATATATATATATATATATATATATATATATATATATATATATATATATATATATATATATATATTACAATGTCTATCTAATATTTTTACCCATGGTAATGCATATATAACTCTAAGTCTATAATTAGGTTCTTCAGATAAAGGATTATCAAATAAATCTATTTGAATAAATTATATATTTATTTATTTATATTCTTATTTTTATATTAACCTAATTATTTTAAATTTGTTAAATCTGCTAAAGTTTATAAATTTAAATCTAAATCTCTTAATTCGTTATTGTATAAAAGTAAAGTTTCTAAATGTTTTAAATACTTTATACTTCCGATTAATGTTTTTAATTTATTATTTTATAAATATAAATGCTTTATTCTAAAATTACAATCTAAACCTTATATTTTTTCTAACTATTTTAATATTTTATTTTTATTTTTTTTATTTTTTTACTTTATTATTATTTAACCATAAAACTTCTAAATTAGGAAATTTATCTAATTCTATTAATTATTAAATTCCTTTATTTGCTAAATGAATTTCAGTAGTATCTTTAGCTTATTTTCTGTTTTTTATAGGAATTACTTCCCATGGATTTCCTATTTGATTAATTAATTAAGGATTACTTCTTGATAAAAGATTATTAAATACATAATCCATTTATACGAAAATATTATTTATTTATATTTTATTAATATAATAAATAAATATATATATAATATAATTTAAATATAATAATTTTTTTTATATATGTATTTATATATATTAATATATATATATATATATATATTTATACATATTTATATATATATAAAATGTTTTATTTTTTTTAAAAAAAAAGTATTATAATTAAAAATTTTATTATTTTTGTAATAATGTTCTTTTATCATAATTTTTTTATTTTATTTTTCTTCTTTTGTTTTTTATTATTATTATATGTCATATATTTTTAATAAATTTACTTTTTTATATTTAATATATTTTTGAGTTTATTTTTTCTCAAATTTAATATCCTAATTTGTAAAACTCATATTTTATCTGTTAAGTATATATGCAAATATCATCAATATAAATTCACATATGTTGTTTTTTTAATAAAAAATCGTATTCAAAAGGAAGTTTTTTTATTTGTTCGCTTCTTTAAAATATTATCTGGTATTATTATTAATTGATGATTTATAAACTATATACTAAAATTTGGATAATATAATATATTTTTATGAAATATTTCTTAAAGTTTTGATGATTAAAAATTAATGTAAGATTTAATTCGTGCAAAATAAGTATTTATAATGGTCGAAGTTGTGATATTATATAATTTCTTTATTTATTTAGTTTTTTAATTAAAGATTAATATCATTTGTAATTATAAATGTATTTTGTTTTATATTTAATTATAGTTATCATATTATATTATAATCATGAAGTATTTTAAAATTAATATTTTAATTATTAGGTTAACAAAAAAAAAGAATGAAAATAAAAAAAAATATGAAATAGTTCAGTCTTAATAAATTTTTATTATAATTATAAGACTTAATAATTATAATTAATATATAGAAATTATTATACGTATTTTTTAAATTTTTATAAGTTATATTTTAATTATAGATTAAATACAAAAAATTAAATTAAAATATTTATATTTATTATATTTTTTAAATTTAAAAAAATATTAATAAAAAATATAAGTATTATAATAAATTAAATAATATAAATGAATTATATAAAATTATATTATTTCTTATTTCATAATATTATATAAATAAATTTTCTATATAATTCTAAGGACATCTTATTATTATTTAGTATATTTTAATTTATTGAATATACGATATTAATTAAAATAGAAAGAAAATATTTGCAAATATTTATTGATTTGTAACCGTGAATACTTTTAATTAATTATTAATATATTAGTATTAAAGTCAAATACAATGTTGATTTCATTTTATTATATTTTTATTTTTATTTAATATTAAATGAACATATTTAATTTTTGTTTAAAAAAAATATGTATAAATTTTTATATGAAAATTTATATATTTGAAGTTAATTTATAAATAATAATAAATAGTTAGTAATAAATTTTAATTTTATTTAATTTAATAAAAAATATAATATTTCTAATTTCAATAGTTTCTTATATTAAAAACTAAAAATAAAATTTAATATGTTTATATTTCAAAAAACGAAAATATAAAAAATAAATTTCATATTTTTAAATAAAATAATATTTATTAAATATGTTTATTTTGTAAATACTAATATTATAATTAGATATAATTTATTTATATATAAATTATATTAATTATTCTATAAATTTATAATTATAAAATCTAGTTTTTAATTTTATACATAATTATTTGTTTTTATTGATAAAAATTAAAATTTTATTCTCTTAAAAAAAATTGTTTAATATAATGAAGAAAATCTGACAATCATAATATCCGTTTTATTTATTTTATAAAATAAAATAAATTTATTATTTTTAAACTATTTAATAAATATTAAAGTTAGTAAAATAAATGATTTTTTATAAAAAAAAATTCATAACAAAAAAAATAAATATTTAAAACGATAAAAAAAAAAACTACAATATATAAAAAAAAATATAATTTTCACTATTAATATAAAAAATAAATGTCCAAATTTTATTAATAATAGCCCTCAATTTAATAATTATATATCCTAACCTAAAAACATAAAACATTAGTTTTTTATCTAAAAAACATAAACACCAAAATTCTAAAAAATGTTACGGAATAGTATTCGATTGTGGTTCTTCCGGTACCCGATATTACGTGTACTAATGGGCTTGTAGAAATTTTAGTACCCTCCCCTAATAAGATTTCATGTAAATATTATCGGAAAAAGTAGAAAACCCTATATCCAAACACTTTATAAATCTAAGTAATTTAGATGAAATATTCAACCCCTTTTTTTATAAAATTAAGACAGTAATTCCTGAAGATAAACACACTTCTACTTTATTATTAGTCGGGGCCACTGCTGGTATGAGAAGAATAGCAAAAACACAATAATTTGCAATTATAGACAGAATAAGGTTTCTTTGTAATAAATCAGGTTTTTAGTTTTTAGGAGATGATTGCTCTAGGGTAATTACTGGATAGAAGAAGGCATATTCTTATGGGTGGCTGTAAATTATATGTTAAAGAATATTTTGTTAGATTCAACTGCATCTAATACTAATACTGCAACAACGATTGATATTGGAGATGCTTCTACTTAAATTACATTCGCAGCGGATGAAATTTCAAATGAAAAACAGGAAGAATATTTCACTTTAAAAATACCTAAATGGGAAAATCAATAGTTTAATTTTACATTGAAAACTGCCTCATAATTATTAGGGCAGGATGTATCCAGATAAGAAATTTTAGATTCAGAAGTAAAAGATGGTGCTTCCTTTACGGCTTGTTTTAATGCTGGATATAATAAATTCGATGCTATTATTAATAGAAATATTATCGGGTAGGGAAAACCTGAAGAATGTATTAATTAAATCAGAAATCTTTTCTAGATTTCTAATTGTAAATTCCCGGAATAATAAGAATGTAATACTAAATCTATATTTGTTAAAGGGCCTTAAAGAAAACTACATATGTAGTCAGTGCTGCTTTGTACATTAAGTAGCTTATTTGGAGATATACCTGAGTTCTGTAA